ATTTATATACTCCTTCTTCGGACCATTTTCGGGTGTTTCCATATTTTCGTGTAGTAGGATTTTGGAACTTTACCTCCCATTTTCACCTGAAACAAAACATATGAAATAAAAAAAAGAATGAGACAAAGACTAGCATCTCGCAAACCTTAGGTACTACGAGCCCCTTCCCACTTTAGTTGGCCCACTTCAAGATTTGTACCAAAATGTGCCTATATAAACTAAACATGACGAAACTATTTACTTCTAAAACAATTTATTTTCTTAAAAACATTTTAGATACACTCTAGTCGTAAAAAATACATATTTAATAAAATACCAGGGGTTCAATCAATTCAAACTTTTATTCTTTTATTTTTTATCCAACCTTAATTGCTGAACACTTACCACGGTGGCATATCTCGGATTTCCGTCAGGGTCTGTTAAGGACCCTCCATAATGTTTCGGAAGATTTTCCGGTGTGATGTTCGACAATAACGCCGGCTTCCATTTTTTCGGATCACTTTTGAAAATTTGAATTTTTCCTAAGGTGTACTCGTTGAGAAATTTCTTGATTACGTTGAATGCTATCGCAAAAACTCGAGGAGCTAGAAAATACGACAACCATTTACAAAAATGCATCGTATTCCTTAAAATCACGATTTACGATATTAAATACTAGGATTTTAAAGAAATAGTCTATACATATACGCGTTGAAGAACAACACTTACCATTAATTATATAGCAAGCTTTTAAAATTTCTGGATAATTTGCTTCGTACATTTGTATCAACGATATCACAACTTCAGCAGCTACAATAGTATAAAGATTAATAAAAAAAATTGCAGTTGTAAAGAGCTAAGCCATGTATTTTTTTGCAGTGCAAATAATATTTAAAGTCATATCGCCTTAACAGTTGCTTCCATCTTAACACATGACTGTAGGAAATTAATAATGGGCCAAATTGTATAGTAAATTACCTGGTCTCCAAGCATATTGCCGTAGGTTGAATCCTTCCATGTCAAAAATAACTACAACCTGATTTTCCCCGGTCTTTGCTGCTAGCGCCAGGTTGTGTTCCAATACCTTGATGGTCATTCTGATCATGTCTTGTCGACATGCTGAGTGAAGAATTCCTATAACGTCTAGGCCAGCAAAAGGTACTACGATCACTGAAAAAATCGATATATTTCACTGCACGAGAAACAAGCTTTTAAGAATCTTTAGTTGAAATATTGATGAAAGATATCATCCGTATTTTGATCCAGTACTGACGAACTTCACACGAAAAAATAAACAACTAAAGAATGATCAAACTTCGCTTTTGGTATGGGTAGTATCTCAATTTTTGCTAAAATTTTATTTAGCGGAACTTACCCGGCGCTCCGTCTTTATCGTACCCTGAGGTGCCGCTTGGATGAAACTTCTGAAGAACCTCAGGTGGTACCCAATCTTTAAGAGCTCCGTCAACTTCCCACTGTTGCCTCCATTTCATCGACTAATTAATAAGTGGATTAGAATGCTATCATTTCAACGCAATTATTGTGAAAGTTGTATAATTGAAGAAAATAAAAAACATGATGACTAACATTTATAGATAATGGTGAAGTATGAACAGAGTATAAGGAATTTTTCGTTATCCTCATAGTCACTATCATAGTTATCATCAATATTGTCATCGTTATCATCATCGTAGTGATAATCGCTATCGTCATCGTCATAGTCAGCGTCATCATCATGATCATCGTCACCATCATCATCAAAACAAACAGAGATTGAGACAATTTACTCCTACAGGTGGCAACTTCCTCCGTAATCACAAATAGCTGTTAAAGCATAAAATTCCTAGGTATGCACTTAGCGTTGTGTTTGAGTGGCAGATTTCAGTGCGAATCATTAATGTCCAAGCTACACTTAGTAGAATTTTTGATGAATAATCATTGCCATCGTTATTGCCATCGTCGTTATCATCATCATCATCATCGGTATCGTCATCGTCATCGTCATCGTCATCATCATCATCGTCGTCATCGTCATCTTCATCCTCACCATAGTTATTTAGCATCATCCTCATCATCTTCGTCGTGATTATCGTCATCGTCATCCTTCTCATAACAAAGAGAGATTATGGCAATTTACTGCTACGGGTAAATTCCTCCATAATCACAAATAGCTGTCAAAGCTTAAAATTTCTAGGTATGCACTTGTGTTTGAGTTGGGGATTTCATTGACAATAACTAATCTCCAACATACACTCGGTAGCATTTTTGGTTAACAATTTCTGGTCAGCGCTGAGACGTTAGTAGCAAACTTCGTTATGGTGTGTGTTTCTGAGGTATGAGCACAGATTCGCTAGACGTTTTTTCAGCCCAGAAGAGGGTAGTTAGATGACTGGTAGGTGTACCTAGCAAAGAGTCTTGTAAGAGAGATTTTTTTAAAAATATGTATTAATAAACTGCCAAGTGTTGCCAATATCTGTGTACAGGACAAAGTGATTACTTATACGCACCATAGAGGTAATACATAATTGGCATGACTGTCCCTGACTGTCTAGGTGTAAGGCTGTTCAACGCTTTCCTCGATCGATTAAGTCGATTGTCAATTTTAATTTGTTTGTGCAGTACCGCAAGAAATTTTTGGTTTATCAATGTTTTTATAGCGTTGATGAGTTCTTACTGTTCTTCTCAAATGCATGTTGAGTAGTTTCATGAGTTTGTATGTTCCATTTTTAATAATTTATACTATTGCTTTTAATGTGTATTTTTCATTTTTACCTTCTTATAGGCTTTATGAATTCGATTTTCTATCCTTGACCATCCCGATACAATTTGTTACAAAGTGTCTTTTGTTGAATGAATATTCTTATTATTATTATAAACAATGTATCAGTAATAAGTATGTATGGATTTTTGTGATACTCATATTCATCATCATAGCTATCATCGTCATCATCATCATCATTGCCATCGTCATCATCATCGTCGTGATCATTGTTATCATCATCGTCGTCGCAATCATCGTCATCATCATCATCGTCGTGGTCATCGTTATCGTCATCATCATCGTCGTGATCATTGTTATCATCATCGTCGTCGCAATCATCGTCATCATCATCATCGTCGTGGTCATCGTTATCGTCATTATCATCATCATCATCATAATCGTCATTATCATCGTCATCGTCGAGATAATCGTTATCGTCATCATCATCGTCAACATCATTGTCATCATCATCGTCATCGTCATCATCATCGTTGTGATCATAGTCTGGTTTCCGGAAAAGTTGCAACTATTGCTAAACTTTGGATATCAAGGACCAGATAAAAGTAATATCCATATAACCCAGACGCTAGTCTACGCCACACCTTAGTGCATTACGCTTTATTTGCATTTTATCAGCTGTCAGTCTTTTAACGACAGTAAACTGGGGAATATTAATATATGCGCTTTTGCGTATTAACGATAAGTGAAGGTTTAATGTACTGGTGAACCGAGAGAAAAATATTTATTTACACTATTAGCATTATCTGAGTTTTTTACGATAATAATTTGTAAAAAGTCCGAGGCTCAAGCAGAAATTATATATGATGCTTATGAACATATTCGATAGGGAAGACGTTATACTTTTGATTTTGTTTTCATTTTGAAATATTCCATGCAGAATGGTTCAGAGAATACGAAAAGTTAAAATTGCACAAGGTAGGACAAATAAAGTAAGCAGATAGACCGATAGGGGATACTTTCGGTTAGTTCCAAGGTTAGTCCGTGCTGATGATTGCCAAGAAGCATGAAACGGCTAGGCACATATAGCAGTTATGATGACGTCAGTCCTGTTATCTGTCACCACTGTAAGCGTCACTGGCTGTGATATTGTGATATAAGTCAGACTGGATTGTGTGAAGCTATTTCATACTCCACTCGAACTAGTATGGAACATTTCAAATTGAAACGCCAACGAAAATTCATAATCGGATTCAGAAACCTGTACTGGCCAAATAAAAATAGCGGAAAACGATTCTTTTTTATGTCACTGGTGGCAGATGGCTATCACATCTGTCAAAATAGTTCACCATAACCTTAAATATCATGAACAGGAGTGACGTCATTAATGCTTCTAGTAGAATGTTAAAACTATTTTGTTTTTGGGTAACTTCTAACTACTGCTTATCGATGTGAAAGCAGTAGTTAGAAAATGAAAGACTGCATTAACCCATCATCAACGACTTTTATCCACATTTGTGCGACTAGCAACGATTCTGTATTCTGAAGTAGCTTACCTGTCGTAACATCTTTTCTGCCGCTTCCGGATTCCATGACCTAGCTATTAGAAACAGAAATATCAGTTTAAAAAGACCTATCAAAAGTAATGAATATTTATTTATATTCTATACAGCTTTTCAACTCGACAAATCGATTTCGAAGCTATTTCAACATTCGTTGAAGACACGAGTATGCGGATTGTGGAACTATGTATCTTGACGGTTAAACTGTGTATAGTTGACGACATACTTGTAGTGTCTGCTTATGTTTTTCTTTATCCACGGTCCTAAAGAAGCTTTTATTATTTATTAAATTCTACTCTGTTCAAGCTAAGTTTGGCGAGTTGCTGTTGCATTAGTTTATTTCTATAAGTTACTAATTTTACCTCGTAGCCAACGTAGTAGGAAATGATCATCATGATGTTTGCAAGACGTCAGCGACACTTCGACGAAACTGAAAAAAAAAGAAACAAATTACCACTCATTGCATTGTCATTAAATGAATATTACACCATAATTGTCTAGATAGTAATTTTAAAATGACTATCTAGTTTATTTGATTACCGCCTGGTTAAAATACTTCCACGTGTTAACGATGTCATTCAGAAAATAAAACTAGGTATTCGCATAAAAGGACGCTGTATTTGAATACTCATTTTTAGATAGATTTTTAGGATACACCCAAAAACATGATATCGTTTCCAATAATCAACATGGTTTTCACAAAAATAGATCTACCGATATTGCCATACACTTCTTCTATACACAGCTGATTAATTATATTGTAACAAGAATGAATACTACAGTTGGGAGACCCTCCTACGCGCCAGAGCTTCATGTCCGATCTCTGTTTTTACGCGGATCACGACCGCACATGCCGCTTGGCGACATCTGTTGAGGAGCCTGCCAGCGACTCGCCCTATGTGGCTCACCGGAATCTTCTCGAACCAACGATGCGGACAACTCCACTACTTTCCGCTGGCAACACTGTAGCGGACTATATTACTTGACGGCTGGAAGAGGGGAGTAGTAGAGCAGAGTGGAGTATAGTTCAGTCAGTGACCAGACATAAGAATTAGTCGGACATAAATGTTCTATCTAGTCAAGATAAATGAATTGGTGCATTCCCTTTTGGGACCCAAAAGTACCCAGAAAAACGCTACATTATTGAAGACGGAGAATGTCCAGCGGGCATTTTGTGTGTCATTCGATTGTGTAGACCAGAACGTTTTGTTGGACAAATTGGCATGATACGGTATTAGGGCAAAGCTTTGTCTTGGATAACATCATTTCTCAGGAACCGACGGCAATTTGTTACTATAAATGGTATCTCCCCGGATAGTAGGGGAATAAGCATCGGTGTTGCCCAAGGATCAGTATTAGGTCCCTTCCTTTTCGTAATGTACTATATATCAACGACTTGAATAATCTGTCAGTGCCAGCCACACTGATGACATTTCGATACTCATTTCGGACAAATTGCAGTCGATATTTGAGCAAAATGTAGCCTCATGATTTATAGTAAGAATGGTTGGTCTAATAGGAATCGATTACTCTTGAACGGAGAAAAACCAGTAGCTCTGAGGTTCCATAACAGTCAGAGAGGTAGGTATATGTCTCTCCGGCATGTAGATGAAGCAAAATGCACCCATCTACGAACTACTCTTCCCCCTCCCCATTACTGTATCGTTCTTTCTTAAGATTAACCATAGCGCGTTTGTCTATTCCGAATTCTATGTTGCTAATATTATTATCATTATTATTACTATTATATATTTATTATTACTATTGTATATTCTATCTCATATTTATAATTAACAATGTGATATTGTCGTACGCCGCTAGGCTTCAGCGAAAGGTAACATTATGTAAGATGCAATTTATTTGAAATTTCATCTATCTAGAAAGTTGAATTAACGTTAATGCTTGAGCTGTAACAGGTTCCGTTGACTCCGTTTTTATCAGTTTACGATCGCCGTCGTCCATATTTATCCTCTTACACCGTTACCTCATTCTCGAGGTGCAATTTTTCGCTTATATCTAGGTGAAGAAATTCTCAACGGCCTAGTGTAGTCTAGCTCTGTGAATTTATTATTATGAATGTGATGAAGAATGGAATCAATTGAAAAACGATGACACTAGTTAGAAAAGAACTCTTTTGAGTCATTTATTTAACAGTGGCGTAGCTACCGCCCCAAGATGAACAAAAGGTCAATCCTGCGCCCCCCCCCCTGAAAAAATTTCCTGTGGGGCGGGACCATGAGAAAAAAATCAGCTACAATACAATTTTTAAAAGACTCAGATTACACTTACACAAAAAGTGAAATGGATTGTATATCATACATTACAGTGACAATCATCCGACTCGGTGTCATATATGACGTCAGTTACAAAGAGAATTGCATTTGCATTGGACATCGGATATGAGAAGCGATAAATCAGAAGAAGACGTTCCACCGGAGGAAGAAAAATGCGCACTAAGAGAAGTGATCGTTGAAGAACCAGAAGCTAGTGAAGATTCCAGTGAAGACTAGTAAGTAATTTTGCTTTATAACCTATCACAAGGAAAATCGAAAGTTTGTAAGGAATTTTTTTATTTTTTTACGAAGTATCTGATTCCAGAATAGGGATTTCCTTTTTCAATGCTTCATTTCAAGACTTGCAAGTAATCTGGCGTGTTTAAATCTGGGGATCTGCAACGGGAAGTAACAAAGATCATAAGATGGGTGCTCTTGTCTCTCGACATCAACAAAGCTTTTGGTCTGGACTTGATTCCTGACGTTGCATTGAAGAGTTTGCTCCACTTGCTCATGTCTAACCCATCTCAAACAAAGGATCTAAGACCGACCCTTACAACTACAGGCCTATAACTCTGCTTTCTGTTATAAGTAAGGTGACGGATTCTCCTCTTCATCCCACAACTTCAACGCGGGTCTTCCTCAGAGATCAGCCTTGGCTTCGACGTTATTCTTTTTTTTTGTCGATCGGTTTGGCATTGGAAGTTATCCATTTGCCACAGATGTTCGACGTTATTCCTCTCACATATCGACGACCTTCTTTCCTGT